GTGGAATTTGTGTCAGTCTGGACTCCCCTCATTTAGCAGCAACCCCAGATGGTATTATTGACGATGACACCTTGATTGAAGTTAAGTGTCCATATGTGGCAAGAAACAGTTTTATTTCCTCAAAAACAGTTCCTTATATCAAGCAGTCTGGAAGTAAATTTTATTTGAATAAAACCCATGACTATTACTATCAGGTCCAAGGACAACTTTACTGTGCAGAGAAAAATGAGTGTATATTTGTTGTGTATACTTTCAATGACTTTTTGTTCTTTGCAATAGAAAGGGATGATAAATTTATTGATGAGATGAAGAAAAAATTGAATGAATTCTATGAAGATTTTTTTAAGTCTGCTCTATTGGAAAAAACTTTTTTCAAGACATATGATGGAAAATGTAGTTGCAATAAAGAAAAATGAAATAAAGACTTTTTTCTCTTATTATGTCATTTTTAATACCAAGTTATGCATAAGATGGCACTATGCAATTCTTAAAATTACACAACATGAAACAAACATAGATTATTTCTGAAGAAAGTTTTGTTTCAGAACTATTCATAGGCTCAGTCAGAATTTTGAATGTTTTTGCAAGTCCAATGATCCTCTCAATGTGCACACGTTTGCTGGATATTTTTCGGTCCTCAATCACAGTAGCACATGACATTCTGTTTTTCTTTTTGAAAAATGTTGGTGTATTTATTTGAATGTTCCTGTGTACAAACATATCCTGCACATTGAAACCTTTGTCCGCCATTATTGAATCTCCAGAATTGCACATTTCTAACAGTCTACTTCTTTCAACTATTTGACGGTCACTTGTGGATCCCCCATAAGCTGTAGAAATATAGGAATGAGAGTACCAAATCCCCGGATGAGCACATGGCATTGTTTGTGGCACAATGTAGAGTCGAGTACTGAATAGGTCGGCATTACCTGATTGGCTGAAATGAGGTATGTAATGTTTTTCATTTTAAAGTAAAAATATTAATATTTGAAATAAATGATGGAATGTAGGAATATTACAGAGAGTATAGAAATACCAGGGGAGATTGTAGGAGTGGGGGGTGATTTTTTTTGCAGAGCGTTATTTACTGGCGAAACCTATAAGTTTTAAAGAACTGCAATTTTGACCTATAAACGCCATGGGACCCTATATTTTTTCCGGGATTTTTTATAAGCGCTTGGATTAAAGTTTCAAACGATGCCAAGGAATTATCTGAAATTAAATTAGTATAGTAGTGAGAGGACAAAATGTTTGTATAGAGTTCTATGGGAAAATAATTGGTACTCTTTTCCCTATAGAGACCCAAATTTTTAAAATGTTAAGTGAATTTAAAGTCATGAAAAGTGATTTTTTGCTCTTAATCCGAATATTGATGACACACTGAGAGGTAAATAGCAAAAAAAATGGAATTGTTTTTCATGTGTTGAGATTTTGGAGGAATTCTGTTCTCGGTAAGGGGGGGGGGAGTAGTGAGTAGAATGTAGATATTAGTATAGCGTGGTACATTTGATATTGTCCGAGGAGGAGAGTAAGTTAATAAAGTGCATCAGATTGCTCTTATGATGAATATTTATGTGTAAGTAAGTTTGTATAAATATATGCATGTACATTAATATTATATGTATTTACATGTGTGTCTTTATGTGTTGTGTTCTATATATATGTACATGTATGGCATTGTAGGGGCTGTGACCTGGTGTTCATTTCATTTCATTTCTTTAACGGTTGCATACGGTATCTTTTCAAATAGTTCTGGTGAACCTAAAAAGGGCATTCTATAGTGGTCATGTCAAAGTTGCACACTTTTCTCTCTTGACATCTTTTGGCTGGTAGTGCGTGTGATTCTCTGGATTGCTTTACTTGGACTGCAGGGTACTGAATTTGTAGTGAAGTTGTTTCTTTGGTGTAGCTACACTTAGGTCTGTATTTTTCCTTTCTTGCTGCTTGTTTTTTTCATCATCGTAGCCCTCGGCAACTCATTTTTTACTGCTTTCCAGTTTTTGTAATTAGAGTTACTTCCCTTAGACTTACAAACCAGGCATGTAGAATTTCAACATCATAAAATCTTTATTGTAGAGAACCTAGACTTCTGATTTTTTCCAGGAATTATTGGAATGACTTAAAAATGCATGTATAAGATTAGGCCTTTTTGTATTTACATGTAATTACATGTAATATTGTGTAACATGTACCCCACCCTTTGGGGGTACATTTTTAAAACAATAAACAATGTAGAAGGTGTGTAATTTTTTTTATTTTTTAGAAAACCTGAAAAATATTGCTGTTAAATAAATGCTTAAGATGTGATTTGACTAATTTTTCTGATTTATTTTGTTTTTAGCACTGTAGAGGACTTTCATCTTTCAGCTTCCTCGGCCCCGGGAGAGTTGGGTACCTGCTCAGCGGGGGCATTTTCTCTATACAAGAAGAAGACGGAGACTCGCTACCCACCCGATATATTTTGTCGGACACTTTTCTATACATAGCAGGTAAATTTTCCACTTTTTAACTTTCCAGCCTCTTATTATGTTGTGCATTTTGGGGTTTAAAGTCAAAATTATTGCATTTCTTATTTTTGAAAAATTGATCTAAATTCCCCTTTTCTATGTATAAAACTCCATCCTGTAGATTAAGATTGTACTGTATAAGACTGTAGATACTGAACTTTCATTTATTATCAAAAGGATTGATTTTCTCTCATTTAAATTTATTGTAAACAAATATAATAGGGGGCGCCTGCTATTTCTCCAAGTGTCTTTCACTGGGGGGTGGTGATACTTTTTTGCACATACTTAAGCAACATGAGGGGTTAGATAAGAATCAATTAGTATATCAGAGTCTCAAATAATTTACTTTTCATAAGCATAAAAAAAATTCTGAATTAGTCTTTTTAAAGCCTTTCAATTTTGCTTAATTAGCTATATTTTATCAAATTTTGGAGCCTTTTTTAAATTCTGGGTAGAATCCACCCTTATGAAAAAAAATGACACAAATGTGACTTTATAGCATTTTATTGACAATAAGAAACAAAATCATGCAATTTATAAATGTTTTATTCATTACAGTCACAACTGTATCCAGATCACATCAAAGGAATGACAGTTTCTCACTCCCTGGAATTCTACTTAATGGAGGGAGGTGTCATTAATTAAGATTGTCACAGCTTCCAAGACACTGGAGTGACAGGCCTAAAATTTTATACATATTCATTGGTAAGTATAAAGTCTTTGAAAATTACAAAATTGACAAATTCTGGGAGAGGTAAATATGTAAGTATAGGAATGAGAGTACCAAATCCCCGGATGAGCACATGGCGTTGTTTGTGGCACAATGTAGAGTCGAGTACTGAATAGGTCGGCATTACCTGATTGGCTGAAATGAGGTATGTAATGTTTTTCATTTTAAAGTAAAAATATTAATATTTGAAATAAATGATGGAATGTAGGAATATTACAGAGAGTATAGAAATACCAGGGGAGATTGTAGGAGTGGGGGGTGATTTTTTTTGCAGAGCGTTATTTACTGCCGAAACCTATAAGTTTTAAAGAACTGCAATTTTGACCTATAAACGCCATGGGACCCTATATTTTTTCCGGGATTTTTTATAAGCGCTTGGATTAAAGTTTCAAACGATGCCAAGGAATTATCTGAAATTAAATTAGTATAGTAGTGAGAGGACAAAATGTTTGTATAGAGTTCTATGGGAAAATAATTGGTACTCTTTTCCCATAAGATGTTAATCCACCTGGTGTCGCTCCTACAAGAACTTTTACCGTGTTACGGTTTTTATAGGTAATTTTCCACTTTTTAACTATCCAGCCTCTTATTATGTTGTGCATTTTGGGGTTTAAAGTCAAAATTATTGCATTTCTTATTTTTGAAAAATTGATCTAAATTCCCCTTTTCTATGTATAAAACTCCATCCTGTAGATTAAGATTGTACTGTATAAGACTGTAGATACTGAACTTTCATTTATTATCAAAAGGATTGATTTTCTCTCATTTAAATTTATTGTAAACAAATATAATAGGGGGCGCCTGCTATTTCTCCAAGTGTCTTTCACTGGGGGGTGGTGATACTTTTTTGCACATACTTAAGCAACATGAGGGGTTAGATAAGAATCAATTAGTATATCAGAGTCTCAAATAATTTACTTTTCATAAGCATAAAAAAAATTCTGAATTAGTCTTTTTAAAGCCTTTCAATTTTGCTTAATTAGCTATATTTTATCAAATTTTGGAGCCTTTTTTAAATTCTGGGTAGAATCCACCCTTATGAAAAAAAATGACACAAATGTGACTTTATAGCATTTTATTGACAATAAGAAACAAAATCATGCAATTTATAAATGTTTTATTCATTACAGTCACAACTGTATCCAGATCACATCAAAGGAATGACAGTTTCTCACTCCCTGGAATTCTACTTAATGGAGGGAGGTGTCATTAATTAAGATTGTCACAGCTTCCAAGACACTGGAGTGACAGGCCTAAAATTTTATACATATTCATTGGTAAGTATAAAGTCTTTGAAAATTACAAAATTGACAAATTCTGGGAGAGGTAAATATGTAAGTATAGGAATGAGAGTACCAAATCCCCGGATGAGCACATGGTGTTGTTTGTGGCACAATGTAGAGTCGAGTACTGAATAGGTCGGCATTACCTGATTGGCTGAAATGAGGTATGTAATGTTTTTCATTTTAAAGTAAAAATATTAATATTTGAAATAAATGATGGAATGTAGGAATATTACAGAGAGTATAGAAATACCAGGGGAGATTGTAGGAGTGGGGGGTGATTTTTTTTGCAGAGCGTTATTTACTGCCGAAACCTATAAGTTTTAAAGAACTGCAATTTTGACCTATAAACGCCATGGGACCCTATATTTTTTCCGGGATTTTTTATAAGCGCTTGGATTAAAGTTTCAAACGATGCCAAGGAATTATCTGAAATTAAATTAGTATAGTAGTGAGAGGACAAAATGTTTGTATAGAGTTCTATGGGAAAATAATTGGTACTCTTTTCCCATAAGATGTTAATCCACCTGGTGTCGCTCCTACAAGAACTTTTACCGTGTTACGGTTTTTAAAGGTAGAATACGTTGCTTGCTGTGGCTTTGGTAACTTTGGTCTTTTAATAGGACACTCTGTGCCATCTATTATCACTCTAGTATTTGGAAATTTTGTTTTAAAATCTGATGGACAGTAATATTTTACAAGATACTTTGTAGGCCAAATGTCGATTTCCTGCCATTGCTTACTCATGAATAAAATCCATGTAAAAAATATATTTGATACAGTCTTTTCGGAAACTCCAAATAATCTTGAAAGTTCAAAATTGGTCGTATGGCGCCGTAACTTGCAGAGGACTAAGAAAAATTGGTCAGGAACACTTATGTTTGAAACCTTATGATAAATATAATTCAAACAGTGAGCTGCGGGTCCTAAGGTTCTTAAAACAAAATAAAATTTAGTTAGAGTTTCCAATCCAGTATAGAAATTTACTCCGGCATCATCATTTGTAAAGTTTTCAATACTCATTGGGGGATACCGAGGAGTTTGTGTCTGTACATCAAAAAATTTAACGTCAGATTTCTGAACAGTGACTTGAATTTCTTCAGCCAAAATTTGGGTAGAGTTAGATACAATTTCCTCGGATACTTGCAGATCATCAGCTGATGTATAGATGAATTCATCTATGGAAGACGAAGCAGAAAATTCTTCTGCTAGTTTTCGTTTGATGCCTCTGGACTTGGCTCTGTCGGCTCGTTCATGTGAATGTGGACTTGGCTCTACCCAGGGAAAAATGCTTGGCACTGCAGTTTTCTTCAATCTTTTACTTAAAGGAGTAGTTCCTAAGAATTAAATTATTTAATATATCAATACTTGTTCATAGTACTAGATTATTTATTAAATAATTAATTTATAATTTGAACTAACTTTTTAAAGCAAATAAAACAAATATAAATTTACTAAAATATTTTTATTATTACAAGTATTATTGTTATAAAATTGATGTTACAAAACATGCCCATGTGTTTATTAATTCAACTAAACAGGTCAAATTTGTTTTTAAGCAGGGTGCTAATTAGACATCAATGTCAAAACACAGTATCTTGTACTGGTAGATATGCATAAATTATCAGGCAACAGCATGTGTTCTTTTAGACATGCCTTGTGTTTATATTGTTAAAAGATAATGCGTTTGTAATAAATGACCAGTAATTTAACTTGTCAGTGGGGAGTCTGCATGTGGCAGTGTCTGTAACGTTATCAGATTACTTCGTATGAGAGGTAAACAAGGGATTCGATATTTTAGTGCATTTCATCTAAGCAAATAAGGCATAACCATTGCTCAGAATAAAATCTATTAACATTACTTTGCACATGCTTATCAAAGATTTCAAAATAAATAAATAAATATTGTTACCATGCTGGGTTTCAGTCAAATAGTCGTCTGATTTAAAATGTGCTCTGCAAACAACAGCATGAGTTGACGGAGTCCAGCTTTGAAAACGAGTTTCACCACGTTTTATTGCGTGTATCCATGCTTTTCTTCTTAACGGGTCTGTTGGAAATATATGGCCACCCCGATTACTACAATTCGGCACACAACAACAAGTTTCAGGCATGTTTTACGAGCATGTGTTTGACAGCAGATTGTTTACGTTTTTTTTCGATCGGTAACTACTGATAAGGCGCGAGGGTGTTCCGATACAGGACCGTGTTTGCCTGTGGCGCCCTCTAAAGAAAAGATAATCGGAGCAGGTTCCTAAATATTGGGGAACCGGAGTCGGTTATCTTATCTTGTATCGGTAGGGGGCGCCACAGGAAAATGCGGTCCATTACAAAAGTGATAAAACCTGTGAAGATGGATAATCAGCATCCATTCTCGAATACGATATCGGAAAGCACACACGTTTCAGTTACAATCCTTAATTTACTATGGCATCTAATTGTGGTGATATGACTATACCTGAACTTAAGAACGAGTTAGAAAAGTTTGGAGCAAAGAAATCAGGAAGGAAGTGGGAACTTGTGGAGAGGTAAATAAACATACGATGTTTTCATGCAAATCCAAGTAAACATTATTAATAACACAGTAAATAATTATCAATGGTGTGTAAAAGATTAACATTAAGTCAAATTGACAGTAAATATCAGAATTACCTCATTTAAGAAACTAATTCTTAAATAATCTGCAACTTTAGCGTGTTAGATTTTTAACTTGAATTTCCTCGGTAATTCTAACATCGATCTCATATTGCTTGGTGCTTGCAGTAAAATAAGAATACTTCTCTACATTTTTATTATGAAGCAGTATTATTATTTCCTGATTGTTGCAGCTATGTTTCACTCAAAATATACATGAAAAAGAATTAAATATGCTTATTTTATTGCAGACTTGAAGCCTACAGAAGAAATGCACATTGTGCTAAGACCGATGTTTATGGACCTGAATTTATGATGATGACGCCAGATCCACAACTCTACAAGGACCTTCATGGTGACAAGACCTTTCCAGGTTGCACAGAGGCAGAAATTTCCACTTTCTTGTCGAAGTTTAATAAGACAACTGATAAGAAAGGAAGGGATATGTACAACGATGGGTTTATCCAGTATGTGAGGGTGACATTTCATGATTCAAATTGGTTCGTTAGAAGTAGTGTAAAAGCTTCAATGATGAAGTCTGTGAAATATGTTGTTGACATTATGATAGGAAAAGACAGAAGTGTTATAGAGTCTCAATGTGAATGTGCGGCAGGCATGGGACCCGATGCACATTGCAAGCATGTCTGTGCTGTACTTTTTTCATGTGCAGATTTTGTTAAGCATGGGACATACAAAACAGAACTCACCTGCACACAGAGGTTACAAACTTTTCATCGTGCTAAGCCCCATAAAGGAAGCCCTATGAAAGCAAGACAGTTGGACACGCCAGGCTGTGACGAAGTATGCAATAATGACTATGACCCTCGTCCAGTTGAATTTAGAGGCAATCCGGGATACCAGTCTTACTTTAGAAATGTGTGCTTGAATTACCCAGGTATTAGTAAGACTCCAATTTTTCAGCTGTATGAGCCTGTAAACATGAAAGCTTACAACCTGGACCATGACTATCTAAAAGACACGTTTAGTGAAAATCATTTGAAACTTTTAAATGTATCAGAAATTTCAGAGGAGAATGCACGTCAAGTTATGATAAAAACAGCTACACAAGCGGCCAACGACCTTTGGTTTGAGGAACGTTGCAAACGTCTTCATTCTTCGGTATTCGGGAGAATATGTAAAGCAACTGATCGAACTGATAAGGTGAAACTTGCTGACTTTTTAACAACAAAGGCACAAAAAATTAATGCTAAACCTATTCTTCATGGAAGAAAATACGAAAAAGAAGCTGTGAAGAAGTACCAGGAAATTTCGGGACGCACAGTTTACAATAGTGGAATTTGTGTCAGTCTGGACTCCCCTCATTTAGCAGCAACCCCAGATGGTATTATTGACGATGACACCTTGATTGAAGTTAAGTGTCCATATGTGGCAAGAAACAGTTTTATTTCCTCAAAAACAGTTCCTTATATCAAGCAGTCTGGAAGTAAATTTTATTTGAATAAAACCCATGACTATTACTATCAGGTCCAAGGACAACTTTACTGTGCAGAGAAAAATGAGTGTATATTTGTTGTGTATACTTTCAATGACTTTTTGTTCTTTGCAATAGAAAGGGATGATAAATTTATTGATGAGATGAAGAAAAAATTGAATGAATTCTATGAAGATTTTTTTAAGTCTGCTCTATTGGAAAAAACTTTTTTCAAGACATATGATGGAAAATGTAGTTGCAATAAAGAAAAATGAAATAAAGACTTTTTTCTCTTATTATGTCATTTTTAATACCAAGTTATGCATAAGATGGCACTATGCAATTCTTAAAATTACACAACATGAAACAAACATAGATTATTTCTGAAGAAAGTTTTGTTTCAGAACTATTCATAGGCTCAGTCAGAATTTTGAATGTTTTTGCAAGTCCAATGATCCTCTCAATGTGCACACGTTTGCTGGATATTTTTCGGTCCTCAATCACAGTAGCACATGACATTCTGTTTTTCTTTTTGAAAAATGTTGGTGTATTTATTTGAATGTTCCTGTGTACAAACATATCCTGCACATTGAAACCTTTGTCCGCCATTATTGAATCTCCAGAATTGCACATTTCTAACAGCCTACTTCTTTCAACTATTTGACGGTCACTTGTGGATCCCCCATAAGCTGTAGAAATATAAGATGTTAATCCACCTGGTGTCGCTCCTACAAGAACTTTTACCGTGTTACGGTTTTTATAGGTAGAATACGTTGCTTGCTGTGGCTTTGGTAACTTTGGTCTTTTAATAGGACACTCTGTGCCATCTATTATCACTCTAGTATTTGGAAATTTTGTTTTAAAATCTGATGGACAGTAATATTTTACAAGATACTTTGTAGGCCAAATGTCGATTTCCTGCCATTGCTTACTCATGAATAAAATCCATGTAAAAAATATATTTGATACAGTCTTTTCGGAAACTCCAAATAATCTTGAAAGTTCAAAATTGGTCGTATGGCGCCGTAACTTGCAGAGGACTAAGAAAAATTGGTCAGGAACACTTATGTTTGAAACCTTATGATAAATATAATTCAAACAGTGAGCTGCGGGTCCTAAGGTTCTTAAAACAAAATAAAATTTAGTTAGAGTTTCCAATCCAGTATAGAAATTTACTCCGGCATCATCATTTGTAAAGTTTTCAATACTCATTGGGGGATACCGAGGAGTTTGTGTCTGTACATCAAAAAATTTAACGTCAGATTTCTGAACAGTGACTTGAATTTCTTCAGCCAAAATTTGGGTAGAGTTAGATACAATTTCCTCGGATACTTGCAGATCATCAGCTGATGTATAGATGAATTCATCTATGGAAGACGAAGCAGAAAATTCTTCTGCTAGTTTTCGTTTGATGCCTCTGGACTTGGCTCTGTCGGCTCGTTCATGTGAATGTGGACTTGGCTCTACCCAGGGAAAAATGCTTGGCACTGCAGTTTTCTTCAATCTTTTACTTAAAGGAGTAGTTCCTAAGAATTAAATTATTTAATATATCAATACTTGTTCATAGTACTAGATTATTTATTAAATAATTAATTTATAATTTGAACTAACTTTTTAAAGCAAATAAAACAAATATAAATTTACTAAAATATTTTTATTATTACAAGTATTATTGTTATAAAATTGATGTTACAAAACATGCCCATGTGTTTATTAATTCAACTAAACAGGTCAAATTTGTTTTTAAGCAGGGTGCTAATTAGACATCAATGTCAAAACACAGTATCTTGTACTGGTAGATATGCATAAATTATCAGGCAACAGCATGTGTTCTTTTAGACATGCCTTGTGTTTATATTGTTAAAAGATAATGCGTTTGTAATAAATGACCAGTAATTGAAGTTGTCAGTGGGGAGTCTGCATGTGGCAGTGTCTGTAACGTTATCAGATTACTTCGTATGAGAGGTAAACAAGGGATTCTATATTTTAGTGCATTTCATCTAAGCAAATAAGGCATAACCATTGCTCAGAATAAAATCTATTAACATTACTTTGCACATGCTTATCAAAGATTTCAAAATAAATAAATAAATATTGTTACCATGCTGGGTTTCAGTCAAATAGTCGTCTGATTTAAAATGTGCTCTGCAAACAACAGCATGAGTTGACGGAGTCCAGCTTTGAAAACGAGTTTCACCACGTTTTATTGCGTGTATCCATGCTTTTCTTCTTAACGGGTCTGTTGGAATATATATGGCCACCCCGATTACTACAATTCGGCACACAACAACAAGTTTCAGGCATGTTTTACGAGCATGTGTTTGACAGCAGATTGTTTACGTTTTTTTTCGATCGGTAACTACTGATAAGGCGCGAGGGTGTTCCGATACAGGACCGTGTTTGCCTGTGGCGCCCTCTAAAGAAAAGATAATCGGAGCAGGTTCCTAAATATTGGGGAACCGGAGTCGGTTATCTTATCTTGTATCGGTAGGGGGCGCCGACAGGAAAATGCGGTCCATTACAAAAGTGATAAAACCTGTGAAGATGGATAATCAGCATCCATTCTCGAATACGATATCGGAAAGCACACACGTTTCAGTTACAATCCTTAATTTACTATGGCATCTAATTGTGGTGATATGACTATACCTGAACTTAAGAACGAGTTAGAAAAGTTTGGAGCAAAGAAATCAGGAAGGAAGTGGGAACTTGTGGAGAGGTAAATAAACATACGATGTTTTCATGCAAATCCAAGTAAACATTATTAATAACACAGTAAATAATTATCAATGGTGTGTAAAAGATTAACATTAAGTCAAATTGACAGTAAATATCAGAATTACCTCATTTAAGAAACTAATTCTTAAATAATCTGCAACTTTAGCGTGTTAGATTTTTAACTTGAATTTCCTCGGTAATTCTAACATCGATCTCATATTGCTTGGTGCTTGCAGTAAAATAAGAATACTTCTCTACATTTTTATTATGAAGCATTATTATTATTTCCTGATTGTTGCAGCTATGTTTCACTCAAAATATACATGAAAAAGAATTAAATATGCTTATTTTATTGCAGACTTGA